GAGGGGTTCATCTTCCAGCATCATATCTTTTATCCTTTTGTTTCTGTTAATGGGGTATTCTTGGCAAAGATACTGGAGTGCATTCGCGAAGGCTTTCACGGCCAGGATCTAATGGAGTAGGAACTCTGTCCACTCTGTTGTGGACAGAGTTCCTACTCCAGTCCTCTGAAGATGCCGGCCATAGAGACTGGCGAAACGTCAGGAGGAACAACCTTCAGAACACGGCCAAAGAGCCCGAAAAACCCACAACAACCATACTGGAGTGGCTTGCCAATTGCTGCTCCAGGTGGATTGCGTTGAGTCCAAAGTCTCCACTACGACCTGTCCATCTTGCACAGGATAGCCCATTGCTTCTCTGAATAACTCAAGCCCCTTCGCCACACAAAGTAGCCATCTGTGAAGGGGAGGCCGCAATCCGTGAAGGGGCTTTTTTTGGAGATTGGTCAGTTGTAAAAAGGTGTGGCTGAACCTCCTGGCATTCGTCGCCTGGATGCTCAACCTAGACTACCTTCCGGGAGGAATCTCAGTACTTTGAGTTGGTTTTCACATTTCTGCATCCTGTTTGTTTTTAACACACTAAAAAACAAACTAAACTTTAAAAAATATAATAACTTGAAACATTGTCAGGGGAAATTAAACAAAGTTTACAATCTCAAACACCTGCTCCTACACCTTGTTTCTTGGAGGGCATTCAGAGGGCTGAGGTTTCAAGGGTGTCGGATCGTTGAGCATCCAATGCAACCGGGGAGGTGATATAAGTTGTGAATTTGCTGTCTTTTATTTGGTTGCCACCATATTCTTAAAGTTGCAACCTAAAGGAAGACTGTTGAAAACCGCCTTGGGCTCTGGGGAGGGTGGGAGAGAGGCCCCCCGAAGAGCTGTGACTCCAGTCTCCGTGTCTGGCTCCGAAATCCACTCTACCATTTTCAGAAAGAGTTTTAATTTTAGAAAAGGGAGCCGTGTGAGTTAGGGTGCCTTTTCTAAAACTACAACCAGCAAGGCTGGAGCTTTCAGTTTCCCGACGGTTCCGTTTTTAATTGGAAGCACGCCGTCACCGCAGTCGTCCTGTACAGAAGGGCTTGCCCTAAACCCTGCCTCTCCTCGGGTCTTTTCCAGGACTGCTTGGACCGATCCTTCCGGGCAGAGGTCTATAGCTGCCCAGCGTGCCGTTACGATCTCGGCAAAAACTACACCATGGAAGTGAACAAGCCGCTGCAAGGCGTCCTCAACCAGCTCTTCCCTGGCTATGGCAATGGACGGTGATTCTAAACAAAAGCACTTCTAATTTCCTGTTTGTTTGTTCTTTTTAATGAAACATGTTTTTGTATGTGTCCCTTCAAAAAGAAAAACTTTATGGGGATTCGGTGGGGGCCTTATTTAATTGCATAGCCTTTCAGAAAGCTTATGTCCTGTTGTTCCCCCTCGTCCCGGAAAACGATGGAAGTTTTGTGATGCTTATGTATTTTATGCGGTAGCGCTTGGGTTTTTTATTATTATTATTATTAAGTGACTTAAATTTGAGAAGGGCATGAGTTGTTAGGCCAAACCGCTTGTTTTAAATGCCGCTACCAAATTTCAGTTCTCAGTAGGGTATTTTTGCGAAAAGAGTGAGAGAAAGAAGGGGGGAAGGGAACCTAATTACATGCCTTGCTTGCTAGAACAATCTTTTGAGACCAACGGATTCCAGCCACATGTTCCATGTGATGATATGTTATTGTTTTTTCTGGTGGCAGCTGAGCATGAGGTTCTCAGCTTGGGATCTCTGCCCTTCAGATCAACTGAGAAGCCTCTGTTCCTTCCAGTGGTATATCACTGTTGACAAAAGCCTCTTACCCGTTATTGTCTTCAGGGCCTCTCTCTGTACACAGCTACTACCTCAGTCCCTGCAATATACCAGCCACCTGCTTTCTCCTCATCTTAGTGCCATAAGGGAGAACCTATAAAAGCCATTCAGAAGTGCCTTCTCTGTTCCGTTTTTTCTTCTTCCTTCCTTCCTTCCTTAAACAAAACCAGCTGCATGAAAGACTGTGTTTGGAACCATTTGGGGGAGAAAAAGCACTGATTTTTTTAAAACCACCATTTAAGATTTTGGTCGAGAACTTGTCCGTTGTTAACACTGCTGCTCTAGGTAGATCCTGCTCCAGCTGCTTGTGTTTTCTGCTAATTCTGAATCTTCCTCCTTAGTATCCTTAGAAAGGAAAAGTAGACTTGTAACTTTTCAATGGGAAGACTGGTGGTATGTTCCTGGTTTGCTCGGTTCTTGCCTCATCAGCACCAAAATGATACAGTTCAGTACCTCAGGGTTAAAACAGGGTTGATGCTAAATCACTCCTCACCTCCTACAGACTGGAACAAATGTGATGATGATGATGATTTTTTTTAAGCCTCTTATTATAAATGGATAATACTTTTTAGGGAAAACAGGTCTTTTTTGTCTTCATGAATTACGCCAGTTTTGTACAAATGTTCATTTAGTTATCAAAATAAAATGCCTTTTTCATATCAAAGAGAGCCCGTGACTCTGTAAGTTTTTGCGCTTTGGTCTGGAAATCCTTAGATCTTTGCAGGACCAACAGGGATTTCACTTCTGCTAATCCAGGAGGTTGCCACTTTATCCTGAAATAATTGTTAGAGTTTGGAATGAGTCCCAATGACAAGAGTTGAGGGGAGGGGAAAATCCTGCAAACTCTTGCGGTATTTTCAGAGGGAGATATATGAGGTGGGATGCTTCCTGCTGATGACATGGTTCCGCGTGGAAGGAATTGCCCCTTACCCTGAACCTCATTCTTAAACATCTAGTAGAAAGACAGCTGGGTTAGAAGCACTCTGTTCTCACATCTTAAAAAAATCTAAATTTCTAAAGCTCACAACGTAACAGTGTCTTGTGGGATTTTTCCGATTCTTAGAAAGTGAAGATGGCAACCCAGCATTGCCCATGCACAGGGAACAACTCTATTTCAAGACAGCAAGACTTATGGCCGAGTTAAAGATGTTACCAAATGGAGCCGGAAGCTGATAAAATTCTTGTTCCCTTGGGCCTGGTAACTGATTGTTTGCCCGGGCCTGTCTTCTGGTCTGACCCTACGTTTACATGGAAGCTGGATTGGTGGCCTGGGCCCTGAGGAGATCCTTTGGCCCATTTAAGGCACAGCCAGAGTGAGTTTGTGGGTTTTTCTTCTCTTGGTGGAAGAACTCCACGTCATACCGAAGGCCCTCTTTCCAGTTTCTTGAAACAACTTCCCAGTAGTAGGTCCTACAGAGGAGCAGCAGTTGGCTTAATGCAGGACGCTTTTGAACACACACTTTTTAAAACAGCCCAATCCCTTTGGGAATAAACTCCAAAGGCTTAAGGAGCCTCTTCCGGATTTACAAGACCTTGACTCCACCCAGCGAGATCATTTGTCTGGGAGGAAGCCCCGCTGGTCAGCAAGCCCCAAGTCTGGGATCTCGCCAATGTGTGGAAATTAAAAAGGGTGGCCGGAAGAGGTCGGGATGATGGAGTTGAGTGTGGAGGAGTATCTTGGAGGTTGAAGCGGGAAATGTGGCGCTAGAGTCCCCTGTACTTGAGACCACAGGCCAAGGGAAAGCCTATTATCCTTGCAAGTGTGTGTGTCTGTGTGTACACAGAATGCTTTTCTATCGCCTAACTCCTTTTCCTGTGAAGGTTTAGCCTTATAAAATCTATCGTCCTATGACTGGCAAGGTCTCATCTTGGCAAACCATCTTTCACTCCCCCCCCCTCCCAATAGGAGCAACAGGAAACAGCCCATCATGGATTTGGTAAACTTGCCCGGTAGCCTTTCCTGGTAGTCCTTTCCCTCGCGTGACAAGTCTGTTGGCAACCCAGGTAACTGTGAATCTTGTAGCACCTTTCTGAACGCTGATCAGATTTCTTCAGCTGAGGCACTGAGGACTCGCAGCCCACAGAAACCTTCTTTATTGATTTAGTGAATTTGTTTATCGCTGACTTTGCGCAGCACACTAAGTGGTTTACAAAGGTAAAAGAAACAAGAACCCCCAACCGTCCGACAAAGCAACAAAGACAAATATATGCGTCAAATAAGAGCCGAAATCCTGATGGTCTCTGGGAAGCATGGGTGGAGACTCTGCATGTGTGTAGGGAGAACCTAAAGTGGCTTTGTCCAGTTTGTGTGCATGTGGGTCACACTGATGGGGAACTAAATTTCACCAGAAAGCACAAGGGAAAAGCTGTGTGCTTCCCAAACCTGCACTCCTGCATCCCAGGGTGATGCCTTTTCTTGGACCTAAGAAACTTAAAACCCCTGTCCAGCTTTCCTGGGCGAAATCCACTTCCTTGTTGGGCTTCAGGAAGTGGGTTTCATCTGTGCCAGCTTGCTACCTTTCATTGCTTCCCTCCCAAGTCAGTGCCTGGAGAAAGGAAATCCCTTAAAAAATGAAATTAAAAATGCATTAAAAATTAAAATAAAAAAGCATTAAAAACTTAAATTAAACATTTGTAATTTAAAAATGCAATTTAAAAAATGCCTGCTTCGAGCATTTCTTTGTAATCCTTCCTCGTCCCCTTCGCCCTCCCAATCCCCCTCGTTCCCTAACGTTGCTTCCCGTCCTTTGGTTTCCAGGCGTGCAAAAACCGTCGTGCAAAGCCGTGCAAAAAAGGGTGCACGGGTTTTGCAAAGGGATCCTTCCTCCGCCCCGCCTTCTTGGGAGCCCACAGCCCCCGGGGGGGGCAGCCCCGTCCCCGTCCTGCCCCCTCCCCTCCCTGATGTTGTGCACGTCCTCACGTACGCACTTTGCTTCACGATCCATTCTCAACCAGGGTCAATGAAAGGAGGGGCGGGGTGGGCGTGGCCGAGCGTGGGCCTGGGCGGCCCGGCTCCGCCCACCCCTCTTTCCCCCCACCCTTCCGTTCCCTTTAAAGGCCGCCGAATCCAGAAACGGGTACTACTCCTCGCCTTCGTCCCCTTTGAAAGCGGCCTCTTCATTGGCTCCAGTGGGGAGTGGTGCGCCCGGCCAATCCCGCGGCGGTGTAAACTGGACAACCCCGAGTAGGCCACCAATCACAAGAAGCCAAGGACCCTCGCCCTCCTCCGCCCGGGGAACAGCAGGCCGCTAGCGCCTGGGCACGGAGGCGGGGCCTGGCCTCCCGAGTGGCGGAGGAAGCCGTCCGTCTCCGCCCTCCGGAGACGGCGCCGGCGGCCATTGGCCGGGTGGCTCCCCCAATCGGGGCCCGGCCTCCGTGGGAGGAGGCGGGAGGAGGGAGGAGCGACGTGGGCAACGGCTGTTCCCCGGAGGCGCCCCTCCCCCTTCGCTGATTGAGGCGACGCGCGGAGGCCGCTCCGGAGGGACGACGACCACCCCCGGGAGGAGGAGGCCGAGGTCGAGGCCGCGGAGGAGGAAGAGGAGGCGGAGACGGTAAGGGGGGGGGCTTGCCGGTCGGGGGAGGCCGCGGGCGTCGACAAACTCCCGTTTCTGGGGGGATTTTATCTCAGGAAAAAGGCCTCTCGGAGGCGAAGTGGGGTGGGGGGGCGAAATAAGAGGGTCGCGGGGGGTTGGCCATGGCGGCCGAGAAGCCCCTCCCCCCCTCAGACGACGAAGCTGAGGGGAAAGGGTCTCCCCTCCCCCTCCTTCCCCTGGTCTCTGTGTGTGTTGTGTGTGTGTGGGGGGGTTGTGTGCGTCGCCTCAGGGTATGATGCTGAGGAGGGGGTGTTTGGGGGGGCGGAAAGAGACTTGCTAGCCACCCACTCCGGCCCTGGTCTTGTCCCCCCCACCC